TTGAACCGTGGTCCCTGTGCTTTGCTAAGCTTGTTCTAAGTAGGTGCTTTAGACCACTCAGCCATCTCACCAGCCCACCAATTTGATTTGAAACTGTCTCATTGCTATTTGTCTCTCAATAAAATTATGGAAAAAAAATAAAGATAGAGAGAACAGGATATGGAAGTGTGTCAGGATGTTCACATTGGAGGAATGAATTCGGTTTGATGATCTGAATGCTTACAATGTTTAAATTATAAAAACAAACACATGTTCTGAAATTTAAAAAAAATGGAAAGGCCACATCTGAAAATAGAAAGGCTAAAAGCCACAGTGCACCTCATGAGAAAAGCGGGAGCAGTTCCTTCTGACTTCGCATGGCCTTCAAGTGTGTGGCGTGTTTCGATCACGCCTGCTGTGGAGGTCAGTGGCCCTGCACGCATCGTGAGGCCCCATTTTACAATAAAACACAAAACCAAACCAAACCATCACCAAGCAACACCATTGTGAATATGAAGTGGGCACTGGTGAGGAAAAAGTGAAATTTATTTTAATTGTTTAATTCAGTAGTATATTAAATATATGTGAAAGTACAATATGTATGCATTTACCACACTTAAATATACATGCCTGTATTTTTGTGTGTGTATATGAGGAGTGGGGGATATTAATCTAGCCCCAAGAAGAGATAACAACAGAAGGCTTGAACAAACATCTCTGAGCAATTCATAAATCAGATAAAAGTGAGGAAAAAATGTTAAGGATCTAGAAGTCCTAAAATCCTGCTCCACAAACTTGAGCTGGTAGATGCATAGAGATCATTATTCCTCAAAAGTGGAAAGTACAGGACTGCGGAGACAGCTCAGTGGTCTAAGTGCCTGCTTAGGCAAGTGCAGGGTCCAGGGTTCGATCCGGGCACCATATGCCATGCTGGCCCCACCCCGCCCCCGGGTGTGCTGAGCTGCCACTGAGACTGGGCATGGTGGTGCATGCCTGTAATCCCAGTGCTGGGGAGGCTGTAAACAGGAGAATCACTATGAGTCTGAGCTTCATAGTGAGACCCTGCACCAAATACATAAAATTAAAATTAAAAAAAGAAGTGCAAAGTACATACTGTTTTCATGAAGACAATGAACCTTTTTTTAAAAAAATAGTGGTCTTATTTAGCCTCTAAAGCAGGTTTCCAAAATTTTTAATATTTTGGTTTCACGTGGAGTATATTCTCTGGCTGCAAAGGCTCTATTTAAATTGCTAGCCAGTAATAACTGGAGCCACCGCTGCATCTGCAAATGAAGAGCATGTGCTTTGGGAGCTCATATATCATCAATGATCATAGCAACAGTTGTCATAGCAAAGTTATCACGTAGTATCAGGAAAAATGAAAAGTGGATCTGGGTTGGCAGTTGCTGTGATCTCCTTGCTTCTCTCTCCTGCCTTCTGCTGCCTCCCTTTGCCTTGGAAAAGGCAGAGTAGACCTTCATAGCAGTGCCAGCAGCGCTGTTAGAAAATTAATTGGAATAGATGGAGTGCACTATTCTGTTTAAAATCACTCATTGTTTGTCTCTTACTTTGACCGCCATAGGAGAAAAGAGGAAAATGAATGATTGTCATGTTCTGGAGGAGCCCAAGAGACCCCGCGTCATGGGGGATATTCCTATGGAATTGATCAATGAGGTCATGTCAACTATCACAGACCCTGCTGCGATGCTCGGACCAGAGGTCAGAAGTACAGACCAGGCGGTCAGTGGGCAGAGCCCTCTGTCCCCACTCCTGTTCTCAGAAATGGGCGCAGGAGTGCTGAGAGCTGGTGTGCCACCCTGGCTTATGGAAAGCATGGTGGTCATGGGAGGGAAGGCAGGATGGAAATCCTGGGGTGGCTCCCCTTGAGTGTCACAGCAGAGTGCCACTTGCTAACAGTCTTCCACAGTTGGAAACCTGTGCATCTTGAACAATTTCAAGTCCTGATAAATGCTGCAAAGTTCTGTAATAAAAATCCGTAGCCTTCTCTAGATTTAGCAGTTGTTGATGCTATGCTACCATTGACTTCCCTGTCTTTTTCTCTGTTGTGAACTATGTAGAACCATTTCAGAGGTAAAAACAGGTGTTGTAGCACTTCACCTCTAACCTTGTTCACTATTATTAGATATCTCACAAATAGGCTAATGCCAGGTTGAGAAACTTTAGCCTACAGGCCAGATCTGGTCCACTGGCTTCTATAAATAAATTTTTATTGAATACATTGCTGCCTTTGCACTCTATGAGGCTGATTTGCATAATTGAGAAAGGGAATGTGTGGCTCACAGAGCCTACGATATTTATTATCTCACTTGGACTGAGAAATTTTCCATTCTGTAGCATACTATCTAGCTTATGTCCTAATTCCTCATCTATCCAAATTAGATCTTTGATACTTGTTGCTGTTGGAGGATCAGATGGCGATCAGGCATGGCATCTGGTTTTTATTTCTTGTCTCCTTTCATCTGAAATAGTTCTCCAGCCTCTTTTTGTAGTGCTGTCATTGCTGATGAATCTTGGTCACTAGTCTTGTGTAATGTCCTTCTGTTTATATTTGTCTGATTGCTTCCAAGTGACTAGGTACACTCAGATACAGCATCGTTGGTAAAAGAATTGTTGTCATCTCGCTGCGAGGTGTCCAGGAAAAGGATGATTTGAGGCATTTCTTAAAGCTTTCAGGAAATGAAGAAATATTTCATGAATAACTTTTTATGTCTTTAATATAGCTTTACTACATTAAAAAGTATTAATTTTTATGTTACCATATTTCCTTAGTATTTATTTTATAAATGTTGAGAGTAATTCAGAGAAGTGGAATATTATAGTAGATCTTATAAAATTATACTATGTCTCTTTCTAGGTGTCCAGTCTCTGGGGATTTAAAACTGTAGTTCATTTTATGTACTTGGCTTTTAGGGATTTAGTAACTTCCCAGCTTAGCTGAGCTTAGTTTTTTCAGCTGTAAAGCGGGGAAGCAGTCAAGCATCTCAAACTGTGTTAGGTGGATTTAGTGTCCTGGAGCTGGCTTATGCTGACGGTATGCCCAACAGAAAGTTTTCGAGCTGGTTGTTAAAATACCTTGATAGTCACAGTTGTTCCTGGTCACCTGGACTGCTAGCCGTAGACCAGTGACATAAGCAAGTGCCATCAGGACTTTTCCTTTCCCTGTAGAGCTCTTTGTTGAATGTGTCACCTGCTCACCAGTAGATGGGTTCAGTAAGAAGGGAGCCTGGTTAAGTGTGGGGTGACAGATAATCCTGGGAAAAGAAGGCCATCCTCTATGAAGAGGTGCTAAGAACATAAATGTGACTTCTTCTCTTTGATCTATATTGAGAATTTAGTATCTGTTGTACCAGGGGTCTTTTAAAGCTTAGCTGGATCAGATTTTTTGAAGCAAGGGGTTGGCAACCTCATAATAACAGACCAAATCTCTTCTGTTACCACTTTAAAAAAATATATATATATTTATTTTTTATTGGAACACTACTGCATCTATTCTTTAACATATGTCTACTTCTACAAAAGAACTGCAGTAGCAGTTAGCAGTTTAAGATAAAGACCTTATGGTTCTAAGCACCTAAAATATTTCTGTCTGGCCTTTCACAGAAAGGTTTGTTGCTGCTTAATCCTTTATACACGTAGCGCTTCAATTCCTCACTTTGCTTTACCTACCTTTCCTGGTTTGTCTTTCTAAACAACTTTTTTTTTTAATTTTTTATTTATTTGAGAGAGAGAGAGAGAGACAGAGAGAGAGAGAGAGAGAGAGAGAC